ACAACAACAACGACAACGCCGGACAAAATCTTTCCCTTAATATACCTTTCCCTTCCATCTTTGATGGTACGGGCAAGGTAATAAAATGGGCAGTGACATTTCCTAATTTCTTTGAAAGCGAAACTTTGAATGAAATATATTAACTTATGGATGTAGTAGAGGTGTGTTTCACATTTCCACATTCTCTTAAAAGAATATATAAAACTGCATTTAACTAGAAAAAAACAACTATAGCGATGGTTTAAGAGGGTAATACATTTTGAGTAAATCTGTTGTATTTTTTTGTGATTTTTCACAACACATCGGTATTTGAGGTTAGTCTAGAGAGTTGATCTCGTCTTCCAGCTGCTGCACCACGATGGTGATTTTTGGCATAGGTATTCTCTGATAGCTGCTAATAAAAGATAGTTAGATACCACTTTGATTTTAGAAAATACGACACAACTCTCTCCTTTGTAAACTCTGACACGGGGTATCATATTTCAAAACAACGTTGAAGATGTTTTTAAAAGTGTTATGAGGTCCAAATCTAGGTCACGCAAAAGTCGACGAACTGGTAATTGAATTTATATCTTCTATATTACCTGTAAGTACCGCGAACATCATTTCTGTGGCCTTATTCCCGTTTCTTCGAAAATAACCCCTTTTATTTGCACGGTGATCACATGATTTTTGTTGGAATATTTATTTCATATAATTTGAAAAATAAGCTTTCTAAAAATATATAACTTGATGGGATTCAAAGAATATGTTACTTCAGAAATGTGCTATGCAATTGCAATAGCTTTAATCTCTACTACACGCTTAAGACACACTTTCCATCGTTATAAACGAGTCAGTTATTTGATTGACTACTATTCAAAAATACAGTAGAACACTGTGCTGATAATTTTAATGAATCAATGAATTGGTGACTGCGCCTAGTAGTCGTTTTGCATCGCTCAGGTGTTACCGGTATTATTCATCTTGGCGTCAGCTGAAGATAAATTAAAGATATCGCCTTACATGAGATCCTTGACGCAGATGTCAGTGTATGTTATCGTTTGGCTTTTTATACGAATGTTTCATTTTTAATTGGGATTCAGTTATAAAAATGAGAAATTATTAACGCATGGTAATTGCTTCATATATCAAACGAGTTTCCAACAATTGAAGCAATCCATCTGATGCCCGTGACAGTTTAACTATCTAAATAATGAACTGAGTAATATTACTATTCATTGTTTACGAATTTTACGTTTTTGAGTTGTTAAATATCGCGTGAAAAATGGGTTCACCCATTGCGTTTACGATAGGAATAGATAAGGTTTGATTGACTTGGCACCACTTTTAACAACAACATAGATTCCAAAGCATGAACTAAAAGAACATTGCAGGATTGGCAAGGCATTGACTTATGTACAAATGTTCCTGTTGAATGTTGTAATTTTATTGTAAATTTGTTTTATTTACATGCTGTATATTACTATATATTAACAATAAATATGGAACAATTTTTTCATAATACATGCGAAATGCGCTCTTTAATCTCGGTAACAAACACTAATACCCGCTAAGGCAACATAGATTGTAATGCAATAACGATGATACACTTTTAATTTAAACTAATCATCATTTGGGAATTCAGTATTTTTAATATAAGATAATCGTCCTCGCTCGGCGAAATATATATTCTAATATTTGTAGTTATTAAATTTGCATGAATAATTAAGTACAACCTACTCAGTTAGTGTGGGACATATTTTTCTGTTATTCAAACAAAACAAATGCTAACGAAAACCATATAATCAGACAGATAAAAAAACGGAGTTTAAATTATAAGCTAACGCCATTCATTATTAATAGTTAATACTATGAACATAATGTTACTTTATTATTAAAAGTTATTTATTTGGTATATTTGTGATATTCAATGACTATCAAAACACATATCAGATAAAGTTGTGTATATATGTTATTTATTTGAGACTGTTGAACATAAATAAAAAAATATTTCCAATACGAATCTCTTCACATACAATTACACGACAAATAACATCGCTCACATTATTAACATTAGTATGTGACATAACGAGGTATCTTCTTCTCTCTATTACCCGGCCACCAGCCTATTTTGGATCGTCGATTGGAGGAGGTTTGGATAATGAATTTAATTTTGTATGAAATTCCTCCGCCATTGTTGACTCCTTGTTATCATTTAAAGTTCTCACAAATGGACTGTCTGTTCGTCTCAATGTAATTAATCCAGAACTGGCGTCATCGGAGACAGTGATTGGGATGGTAGGTGGATACAGTTCGTATGGTATATCTTCTGATATAAACAACTCTAGGCAAAAAAAGCGATCAAGATAACAAACTTAATAAGTTATAGTCGGATTGTCAAGGCAACGGTCCACTGTGCGCTTTTGCCTTAGGGTTATGAGAGAATATCAATGTAAGATTAGACAAGACAGCTAATCTTGTGTGATGACGAGACAGCGATAAAAAGATTATTATTATTAGTTTTGCAATAAGTATTTAGGATAGACCCTGACGTGTTATATGCATTTGCGATTTCAATGGAAATGTATCATTCGATGATATGAAATGGAACGTAACTCATTTCATTTCACACCCTGTGATGCATTGAGAGAGGATGCCATTTGTATACTATAACATGTTAATAATTGTTTCATAAAGAAGCAAAATAAAATAGGCCACAAAACAAAACAATATTAACTACAATATACCTGGAATGTCATTAGTGCTGTTTTTTTCAGAATCAGACAATATTGCTGTTTCTCTTAGAGAGTCAAATAAATTTTTCGAATGGGAATGATAATCTAAGTCATAATCCTCATCCTCATCTTCATTACACAGTAATCGACAATTCACGTCTTCAATGTCTTTGCAATACTGGGGTTGATCTGACATGGCTTCTGAATATGTTCTACAACTGTCCCTATCACATTGCGTCATTTCTGGAACCGTCATACTGAATGTTTCTTCGTATTCGTGCAGCGACCCTTTGTCTACTATTTCACTACTGTTATCAGAGGACGAGATTGTTGGTAGCGTTGCATCGCGACTTCTCCTATAATTACAGTTCAATAAAAAAATATTATTTCTCACATCGTATGTATTGAGAGGTATCAACCGAGTATCGCAATGTCATTTAGACACAATGATTTCATATCAAGCAAAATCATGCAGCCCAAACTAAAACATATATCGCTTACTGAATATTAAATTGATCGACTTAAGGTAACAGTGATCGAAAATTCCTCAATAATTACTTCACAATTGGGACATTTTCTATAATTTACCACAAAGGTGAAAAAACAATGCTTATATTTCGAGGTAGCGGTGATGTAGGAGAATTCGTGACTTTATTCGACCAGGGTACCGCTGCTGTGTATTCACTTGTATTACATTACTGAAACTGTCACATGTGTTTGTGAATGTATTAAGTCAAACAACGACGAATCTTCATCAGTGTTTGTCTATCTCTCAAACATCGGGTCTGACCATTTTGATGGGGCACTTAATGCAAATTTAGTTCGTCAACAATTAGTCTGATATACGCATCGTCAGTTTGATACCTTGCTAAAGAACTGTAGACACATCAGTAATGTAGAATGAGTGACTGGCCGGAAAACGATTCATCTCGTTGAAATAGCTCACATACTTAGACAAACATCCGAATGATAGCATTTTTTCTAAAGCATTTGTCTTACAGAACTACATTCAGTCTCCCCGGGTACATATATTCACATTATATTGTGCTCTTATTTCAAAGCCAGTACTTACCTGCTGAATAATTCTGAGTATTCTTTGTTGTCAGAAGAGTTCGGTTTGACACATGTATAGAGTGCTGATTGCCACGAATTTTTGTTTGCGCTATGATTAGTAGACTCGTCCCCAGCTAATAACAATCGGAAAGCAAAGTGTGAGCGGTATATAGAAACAAAGTTATGTAAATAAAAACTCGAAATATAGTTTTTCAATCATGTTATTCATATTGACCTTAAAATAATAGTAGTGTAACCTTACAGTGACATATTACAAACAAGTATTACCAAATGCAATGGACGGAGGTTTCCATTCTTCTACGTATATGGATGACACCGTTGTTTCCATTGGGAAGACAGTCGTACGTGAAGTTTCATATCGGTACGATGGCTCCATGCCTAGTTTTTCTAGTAACACCTCGATATCCTTATCTTTCTGTGAGTAGGAAAAGAGACGTGGCGAAAAGACAGTATTAATCATGGTATTTCATTTCGTTTGTATTAAATAATCAAAAACCTCAATAAAGCGCAACTCACTGTTCATAGCAGATTACGGCAATTTGATTTTATGGGTGGCATTGTACATTTTCAGGACTCACAGAAAACACGAATGAGTTTTTTCTACTAAATTGCTAATGAGATAGTAATAATAGATTTACAGATTTTGAAATCATTAATTTAATTGGTTGATGAAATGTAATATATAAATAAGAGAACAATATTTAATTTATTTATTTTTTTTACATTAAATTACATCTCAATATCATGAAATAAGTGTTTTCAGTAACAATGAGTAAATGCATCATGAAAATCACCTTTTCAATTAAACTATTACCATTCGATTTGTTCAATAGATATATTTAGGCAAAAATGAATATCACGAGACCTTCTACAGTGTCCAGCTATTCACAATAGTTTGGACTGATAAACGACACCCCAACAACATTTACTCTATATATGGTCGTCAGTATTGCATTGAACAATATATGATTTACATTTGAAGCATGCATCTTTCTCTATTTTCTAGTGAGTGTTGTTCCAAAATGATATTGACAGATTATTGTTGTGCTCACCTCGGAAAGCAGTTTTCGTAGCTTCATATTTTCTGTTCTGAGACATCGTGTTTTGAAAGGAACGCTCGTACCGTCAAAAGTTGAAGTCATTTTAAAACTTCCCCTGCTGCTAAGGCAACGTATTTTCTTTTCTTCTCCACTTGGGTCTCTTTTGAGTTCAATGAGCTGCGTACAGATTATAGAATTTAAATTTCGAATAATTCATTCCAGCTTTAGTTATGAAGAGAAATACAATATTTATACACTTAAATACGCTTATATAACTATATTCAAATACGTCTGGACACACGATATGATTCCAATCTCTAATTCACTATAAAGAACACAACTGCATTATAGTAGGGATTACAGTAAACGTAGAAGTTCCTACATACCTTTGGTAGGAAGACTAGACAGAGTGTCACTGTTGTACAAAATAGTATAAAAAGTGATATGATTCCGAACGTTGCGTTGGGATTATTGGTTATAAGAAAAGACAATGCCACTCCAATTACGCACATCACAACCACGTTATAGACGCACATACCGATGTATTTACTATCGTTTAATGCAGGTATACTAACATGACGTGTCTCCCAGGCGAGAAAGCATCCAAATATCTGTAAATAAAGGCAAACGCATAAGACTGAATGTTGAAAAATAAACAGTGAGTATACAGATTGCGACGCGTGGTTAAGTTTAGTTCCATTAATGGATTATTTACTTCTGAAAAGCATTGTGAATGATTTCCACTTGAATCGAATGTGACGAGCTCTCCCACATCTCCGCTGTAAATTAAATGGTGTATATTTCATATATGTAGTTTACGGGGTTTTGGGAATTAGCATGTAACGTAATTACACACATGATGGTTTGCAGCTAAATTCGATGTCAAGTCATACAGTACTAACCATTAGCACTCCTTTATATGCGTATATGACAGCGAGCCATATTGACATATGAACACTTTCACAGTGCTGCATAACAGGTACAAAAAAGACATCTCTTCCTTCAGGGTCAGGCTGTTGAAATAACAAATAACAAATCGATCAATAAAGAAGTATACGACAGTATTGGCTACGAGATTTACTGCCCGTACCATCTAACTAGATGATGTCCTTCACGGACGATACCGCCAATTAATACCGTTTCAATTGCAGATTTTGTTTATTCTGCCCTCCTCAGTATGGAGATAGAAGTCACGCCCTCTAGCGGTAAATGACATGAATACAATATGGGTATAAGCAGTTTCGTGCAAATAGACAACGTTGTTTAGTTTTAAAGTCATCCAATTACAATATGGTTAATATTTTTCAAAAAATAGACCAATTTCCCGGATATAACGAGACTTGGGTACAGAAAGGAGTGTGTTTGTCATGGTGGCAAACACACACACACACCACGGTCTGCTGATATTCGTTATAGGAGAAGGTTTTTTGTGACGTCAATTGATACATCCATCCATCCATTTCCGGGAAAGTGATCTATAATTTCTCGACAGAGGTTCGTCTCTAGATGACACGATTCATAGGCACGATTTATTGGGTGAGCGTTGTACATATCTACTAGACACGAGTTACCTCTTCTCGTCCTTCAATCGCCATTCTCTTCATTGGGTCTTTTATTTCCCATGTTACCAATAGCAATACATCAATCAGCAGCAGTACACCAACTATTGCAAACAACCTTTTGTCTTGTATTACCTATAAAAACGAACACACACTTTCTCACGTGATATTAAGACATAATGATTGATTAATATCAGAATAAGCAAGACATTAAAACTTGTTTTAGTAATTTAGTAGGTGCTGGTACACGTCTTTTGTCTTGTATTTGACCATGGACGCAAATGACTCCGAAGTCTCTGAGAGTGAAAGAAAAACACGATTCGTGTTTGCCCTTCGAAAAAGTCTCCATTGTTTTTCATCATCGCGTCTAGTCCTAACGCAACTAACGTTGTTGAAAAACTGGGCGCAGCTATAAGTGAAATATAACACTATTTGAAATCAGTAAAACAAGTCGCGTAGCTCTGCTTCTCTGTACGATATCTCAATTTCGCCTAAAATTTATTTACTACTAAAGTCGCGGGTTACGCATCACAAAAAAAAAGTAACCCCCTTAACGGTATATTCATATATGTTCATGCAAAGCATGTATCATCTACGCAAAACTAATTTACAGTACCGCCATTCCACGATAGACAACATAATATCAGAATCACAAAGTAATGTATTCATCATGCATGGCCGTTGTAATGTATGAAAAGTCATTCACTGACTAAATGCACACAGTAGTGTTATATTACAAAGAGCTTTGAATAATATAGGTTGTTGACATGATATATGTAATTGGATCCACTTACTCGCTTTTTCATTTTAATGTTTGTAAATATACTGTGTACTCTCCACGTTTTGCTGAACATTGCTCCGAACGCTCCGGTGAAGCCAATCGTTAACATCCAGGCACGGATCTGTAGCGATAAATTTCAAAAGCATCATAAGGTGTTCTTTTTTTTTTCTCAGGTTTTGTTGTACTGCATATTTTCGGGAGTGAGGCACGTGGTGTTTTGTTCAACACAGAGACAGGTGGTTGATTTTCAAGCAATGAATGATACACAAATAATACTTGATAATTATTTATGATATAAAGGATGTAATATCTGGACGTGTAACTTACCGAACATATGGCATGGACGCCGGCAAGTTGCGTGCCATCCAACCCAAGGAAATAAATGAAACAGTAACACAGTATTCCACCTAGTATGATTAGATTATTCAGATAAGGACTGGACATCTTTATGAATCTTTTCAATTTGGGAAGATGAAAAAAAAAATGTGAATAGTAATTGAAAATAAAAAAAAAAAACATCATTCACGTGCAGAATAAAATCGACAATTGCATATGGTAAGTGAATTGTGTAACAATAATGTTGCCGAGAAATTTGAACATCATCGAAAAGGGCATTTATTCAATCAATCTAAAGATCAACGTGTCAACGATTAATGCTGTTTTTTTTCTGAATACATAGAGCTGCATTTATTATGTTTACTTTAACATTAATTATTCGGCAGTTTTTATTACAATTTTTTAATCCATAAAATCAATTTGCCGCGTAATTATCAATATTAGAAATAATTGAATATTGTTGAATAAGCCTTTATGCCAAGCCACTCACCTGTGTTTTCTGAATCGCATATTGAAGAATAGAAACATCAATGCAATCATTATACCTATATAGGTTAAACAGCACATTATGACGTAAAGAATGGAGGACACTCCACGCTGGACACGGATCACAACAGGTTGGTCTAAAGGCGGCGAGCCGTCTAAATAAAAAAAAATCAACGAATTCACCAAAATAGGGAAAGTATTGAAATCAATAATTAATAATATATAATTACAACAATTTATTACAATCATTAGAAAATAACCTTGTAGAACGATTACACAACTATCTACCAAAATGAAGGTCAATATTAAGTTCTTTTGTTGTTATGAAAATAAGGAACGAACAAAAAAATTGAATGTCGATTCACCAAACAACGCCTTTTCTTCTTGCAGTAAAATTACGAATGAATCTGTGTAGTAATTTAGGGATAATAGGCGACTCACTGAAATTATTATTTGTATTTCAGTTAGGCATAGAACGTTCACAAACAAAATGTGTGTTTCTTTCGAGTTGATAACAAAACGGATTTTCTTAACTAAAATATTCATGTTGGGGTTGTTGTTTAAACGACCCTTTCAAATGGAATACTGAATATTGATAATCACTGACAACTTTTGTTCCTGCAGTGGCCTCTAGCACCGCCCAGTTATCGTCTTACGATTGGGTTCCACGATGTTTGTATCGACCAATGAGAACAAGTCGTTTCAATAATCGTTAGCGCCATGTCTGAGAGGGCGTTGCTTACCTGCCCAGTGTATCTTGTCATTATTCAGAAAGTAACTGTCACTGTATGCGTGATATTCTCCTATTTTCACATGACTCGAATCTGAAAAGAGTGACAATTATTATCATGAATCCCAATTTCATTTGGTTTAATCAAATTTATTATTCCATTACTTGTAGATACTCTATATCATTCTTACCTACAAACTGTTCATATACAATAGTTCCCAATCTGTCCCCTTCATTGAAACGTACACGACCCTAAAACATAACATCAATGACAAAAAAGTGAAAAAACACACAAATTAATACAAACACGCATTGACAATACAATTCCACAAATTTGATCAAGTCTCATAAATAATAAAATCCATGGTATTTACTATTAGTATAGTGCGTGTGTACAAACTTTCTACTTTTTCCAAAACAGGGACTAAAAATGGAATCAACATGTGTATATTTCAAGTACAATATCTATCCCTCCTTTTCTAGGTATGTCCCCGATCACATTGCTTCTTGTTTCTGAATCGTATTAATTTTTTCCATTGGGGTAACTTTGATTGAAAACGGTCAAATCTATTATTCACAGAATATTCGCCATATTGTGGTCACATTGAATCGTTAGTTCATATTGGGTCGTGTCCTTGTTAGTTATGGTTGTTGTTGTCACAGTTGGTTCAAACCAAATATAAGCTTTATGTGCCGCAGGTTTGTAATGTTTATTTTTGGCACAGGATTATGGAAATTAAATTACTTATTTGCAGTAATCATACGTTGTAACCGTCACATGCTGTCCACTCTCTGTTCAATATATATACCATAATATATATTACTGCACTTGAAATATTGGAACACAGCTAAATATAGATAATATTTAAATCGACATTCTGAAAGTAGTTAAACATGTTTACTTTGTTCTCGTCAAACGTGTGACTTGTTTTAATGCTATTCTGTGGTGAAGGACGATGCCGGTCGTATATTAGTTTGACACAGCGCAATATCGGTCGCTTGGGGCTTAATTTACACATGAAATCCACCTTATTATAAGAATAGTAAACGACTCACATCGCCATTTTGGATGAGGAGTCGATTGTGAGCGAGATGTGTGCGAGCTGTAGGCGAGTACATAATATTGATGATAACCGACTTCAAATCCATTGTAGCACAGTATGGAAGTTGATTACTGTTAGTATAATAAGGTGTGAGTATGTGTTAGGAATTCATTCCACGGTTACTGTCGTCTATCTTGGTCTGTTTTACGCTATTGTCCGACATGCTTTGTTCGAGTTCGTTCGAATTTAAAGTCGACATAATATGCAGCCGAAGGTCCAGGGGAACGTGATAGAGTAATACCCAATACACGATGTCAAAGTATGCACATTATTTTTTATAACATGTAATTAAGATCGTGGCGATTTAAGCAACTAAAAAGGACATCATATTTATGACACGTTTTGTTGCGTTGCATACTTGTTAAATTGGTCGAACGTCATCACGTTTAAATTTGTTTTCCCCATTACAAACATACATGTAAAGAAAAAAATGACATTTTCGACCTAGTCGTTGTTAAAGCATTATTTCATAAAAAAATATTAGTCATCAGAATATTCTACTACCATAACTAACATGACAACCATAAGTATATTTATGTGCTTTTCGTTTTTATAAACAGTATTTTGAGATATAAGGAGACACTATTTACCAAAGTATCATTGATAAATACTTTTTTTACTGGTTTTGTGAACGATGACATAGAAAACAAGGCGTAAATGCCAAGAATATCCAATAATATGTTTCCATGGCAAAGATTATCATATTAACCATTGTTATCCTAAATCTCGATAAATAACAGTAGACCGGTGTTAATTGCAAATCATTTACCTAAAACATGTTGCTACGGCCAAAACACGTATTTTTGTTACGATGTCTCCCTTCCATTAACAGGCTATCACAGTTTAGCAATTTGTCCTAACCTTTGTGGCGTATTATGGTTATTTTTTTACGAGTAATGGGCCGTATTGTGTGGCTGTACATACTACATGGGCATACCGCATCAGATATGTTCTCAGACTAAAATCGTCAGGAAAGTTTTCACCACTCCTTCTAAGATTTGTGTATGCGC